GACCTAGCATACACATAACACACTATAGACTTCTATAATTCAATGTTAGGCTGCATAGATTAGGTCAGCCGGAACCGGGAACACTTCCCTTAAATCCTGATGTACTCGTTACATCATAAGAAGAATGGCGTCTACGCTAATATTAGTCTCTCTGTTTATCCGAGATTTACTGCAGCCTGCCGGATCCAGGCCGTATCCAGATCTGATGAAGGAACTGCGCCTGGACACACTCTCTCTCTCACACACACACACACACACACATTCCAGATCTGATGAAGGACCAGCGTCTGGACCAAGCGGCAACATTCTAATCTGAAAAATGAAGCCTACCCGGAAATGCAAAAAACTGCAATACATGGAAAATCCGCTAGAGGGAGGTCCCAAAAGGGAGAAAATGTCCATAGACCCCATGTTAAAATGTCCATTTTCACAACAAAAATTCATGTTTTTACAGGTTGGTCCCATGGACTTTTATTGTATTTTTCGATAGGTTCCGAGTGCCTGACAACTGTGAGGGGGGTGAATTTTTTTCTAACTCGTTAGTTTAGATCGTATTTAGATATAAAATGTATGACAAATAAGGGCGTGGTTAACTTTGATTGACAGCTGATAACGGGCTGCGTCGAGTGGAATTCCTGAAATCTGACGTCTCGGCCATGATCTGACACAACACATCATACCACCTCTGTATCCTTTCTGAACATTTGTATTGAAATATCGTACATAACATGGGTTGCTCTGCTATAAACTGCACTAACCGACACTGTAGGAGTAACGTTACTTCGCTCCATTTTTTCCGGTAAGTGACATTCCACTACTATTTCACGTAGTTAGCACTATTTAGCATCAGTGTTTGTGGGCAGTGGCACTGCAACTAGGGATGCACGATATTGGATTTTGGCCGATATTCGATATGCCAATATTTTCAAACTAATTTTGCCCGATGCCGATATATTTGTATATTTTTTAAGTGCAAAAAAAGCTTATTAAAGTTCTCAGTCAAGAGCAGTGAGTGATTTCCTCTGTGTTTTGTTGTTTTATTAACATTAAAGGGATAGTTCTCCCAAAAATTTAAATTGTCATCATTTACAAGTTTCTTTCTTCTGTTGAAAATAAAAGTTATTTGCAAGAATGTGGCTAACCAAACAGTTGCTGTACTCCAGTGACTTCCATAGTGTATTTAAGCACAAGAAAGAAATCAATACAGGTTTGGAACAACATTAGAGGAGGTGCAGTATCTCTTTAAGGACAAGCGGCAGCACATTATTACTGTCTCTTTAAGAACTGCACGCGACGCGTCTAATATACACGCATTTGACAAGCAGATTTTCTCTGTTTGCTTTCACTTTAGACATAACCAACTTTGTTTATGTAAACCTTGTGTGTATTTGACAGTATCAGCGCAATAAGACTCGAAAGATTAGTCCAGTATGCCGGCGCTGTGACGGCTTTAGTTCCTGTGAGCGTCGGGTGTACGCGCTCAGTAAAGCGGATGTTAGAACAGCGCATCAGCACGCGAATGACATGTTTACCTAGCAAGACTTTGATGCGCATGCAAATAATGAACTTTTGTGAATTGCGGTGTCCCGTGAGTGTAACTATCTCTGCGTTTACATGTGATGTGATGTGAATGTACGTCGCGTTGTACAGTATGTTGAGAGGAAGGCGCCAGAATTGAACTGATAGAATGCACGATACTATGATTTTTCTTCAAAAGCAGATCGTGGGGACATTTTAATCGTCCACGGTCAAAAACCGCGTGAGACGCACGGCACACCCCTAGTTGGAAGTTTAAGTTGCTGGCGCTCATGCTTCGGTCACGGTCGTCACGTGCGCACAGGAAACACGCCACCCTATCGGCAAGGCTCATCGGCAGAAATATTCATATTGGCCGATGCAGATGATGGTCATTTTAAGCTTTTATCGGCCGATACCGATGTTGTCCCGATATCATCGTGCATCCCTAACTGCAACAGTTAGCATTAAATCGCCTCAGATAAGTTAGCGTCCGAGGTAGGGACAGGTGGGGTTTTGGGGGGGCTAATACAATCCTAAATCATAAATCAGATGTACCTATGTACAATAATATACCGATGTCCAGCAATCGATTTAAATAGTACATTGTGTTTAATTTGTCGTTTAATGAGATCTAATATGTTGTTGTCGGCATATTAGATATATGACGTTTGAAATACTGTAAATGTGTCTGCCAGATGAATAAATGTAACATAAGAATAGCCTGATATGTCCCACATCGGAGTGTTCTTCAGCAGCTCTGCAGTGGCCATAGACTGTGAAGAGTAGCCTAGTCTGCCAGTCGATCCTGTAGCGGTACAGATAGCTGAGGCTGAAGAGGCGTGTCCACCGGCCGGCTCAGTCTCACACAAAGCCCGCCCTTTTACCCATATATGGATTGGCCAGAAGGTGGGCGGGGTTAGGATTTCCCAAGATTTTCAAAAGATGGCGCCGCCCATACCCCCCATAACCGGCCTCAAAACCGTTCTTCAGAAAGTCTATGGGTGACGTCACAGACGCTTTGTCCATTTTTTTTTACAGTCTATGGTCTGGACGCGACGACACCGCAGGCCTGAAGTGTCTCTCCCTGTGAAGGCCTCCTCCGTCTCCTCTGTACAGATAATCGCTGTCGGGATAATGCCGGTTCGCCGAAGCGATAAAAATTCTGTATTATAGATTGTAAGGCCAGACAAGTCGTTTGTTGAGGGTTGTGTTTTAGGTAAGGACTGCACGCCTGCGCACACATATTCAAACACACACCTGTGGACTGGCTCTTAATGCGCGTGTGCTCGCCATAAGCGTTCTCGCAGGTTTGCGTTTAAAGTTTGCATAGAGAGAACTTAAAGAGTTTTCTGTTAGAGCGGTGTCGTGTTAGCGGCCCCTAAGTTAATCACTAATGATCTTTACAACGGAAGTGAATCAATCAAAACTAACTTTAGCTGGACAATAACTTTATTCTAGAGCTGCAGTAAAGCCTAAACACTCTGTTACTGTAATCTCCTGTTATCACTGTAAAGCTGCTTTAGAACAATCTACATTGTTAAAAGCGCTGAGATCACACACACACACACACACACCTGAAGGGGTTTATTCTGAGATCACACACACACACACACACACACACACACACACACACACACACACACACACACACACACACACACACACCTGAAGGGGTTTATTCTGCGATAACAGCCGTCTGGATGTTCATTATCCCGTTATTACACGGACACTTGCCACATCAGTAAATCACTAGACACGAAATATTGATCTGAGTCGAAATATTTTATCAGCTCTTTAAACACACAGCTTCTCGGAGAGAGCAGTTTCAGCGGCGAGGTCAAACTAGACGGACATTAAAGAGATACGGTATACAGTCATAACTCTTATTACTCAGCATACGCCACATAAGCCTTAGGGGTTAAACTAAGGGTGCTCCGATTGATCGGTCGCCGATCATAATCGTCCGATAATTGCTTTGGGATGTGTGATCGGCGGTCTCTATAAAGGCCGATCCAGAAAAGCCGATCAGATGACGCAAAACTCGCGAGACCATTTTTTTACGCCCTGGTAAAAATGGCTTCACCGGTCTGGCAATTCTACAACAGGGCTCTCAAGTGTCAACCATTGAGCGTGACAGTCACTCATTTCGGTCTTTTGTCACGCTCTCCTGCCACACATTGTATTTCTCACGCTGAAAAACTATTTGTAATATATTTAATATGCCGCAGCGGCCAAAACTCTCAGTAGTGCGCTCTCACTGTGGAACCGGCATGCATCAAGCGCGTTTCCTCTGGTGTTGTTCGTCGAGCTACACAATAGCCAATCAGAAAATAGCACTATTGTATCTGGGTAAGATTTAACGCAACAACCAATGACAAAAATGTATCCAACCCACACCCCCCCTCCCCGTGCGTCCGTCAAATCACTCGTACATATTTTTTTCTCTCATCAAAACTGAATATGTTCATCAGCGGTTACAGTTATATCAAGCAAGGATACTTTAGTGTTTTATTTTGTGATTACACCGGAATGAATAGAGTCCGCAAGGGCGATAGATTGAAGCGCGCGTCCGAGTGAAGCCTGCGCGAGACACAGAGCACTGTATCCATGACACTGATCGCCGCGGCAACGAGCGCGCAGCTTGAGTTCAAAAACACATAGCGCTACATTTCTTGTTTAATAGCGAACTAAATGAATGATCTGCTAGTTAACTGAAGATGTTTTATTTATTTATATTAGGTACATGGTGGGACAGACTTCACTGGATCTAAAAAAAAATCAATCTAACCATAGATGTGACCAGTAGGCTAGTGGTGGCTTTCTTAATCTGTTTAAAATAATTTTGCAAGGGTTCTTCACACACACAAACACACACACACACACACACAAAAGGTTTCTCTTCCTCTCTAAATGCCCACAAAATCTGACTAAGCATCCCAGAAAAAAGCAAAGTTATAGATACAGATATGGAAGTTGTTAGTTTTTTTTGTTTTGTTTTTTGTTGCTGTGCACTTTACTGCCTGTGGTCCTTTAAGTGTATTAGAAAAACTGATGGCTGACTGACTCAAAACATTATTTTGGCTATAGCCTTTTTTGTTGCTGTTTTTAGTTTAAAGTAGTCTAAAGCTAAATTTAAAGACTCAGATGTTCTGTCTTTTATTAATTTTATTTTATATTCCACCGGAAAGTTGTATGTCAAGCCCTAAGCTGCTCCCAATAACCAAGCTGCTATGTTAATACATGTTGCTTGCAAATAAATACACAGGTGTCAATTCATTATGCATTGTCTTCTCTAAATGTAATACTTAATGTACATTGTTGTTAAATATAGTTTAATAAGTAATGCTACATGATAAAAAGAAGTCTTCAAATAGACCCTGTAATCGGTGATCGGTATCGGGTGATACAGCTTCCAGTAATCGGCGATCGGCGATCGGCCCCAAAAATCCTGATCGGAGCACCCCTAGGTTAAACTGACTGACCTCAGAACAGTGAACGGTGTTTCGTCTCTGCTGGCCGTGTCTTCGCTCAGACTCACTAGCTCCTCCCACTCCTCCGTCAGCTGTTGCCAGGGGCAACGGAACGGTGCCAAGCAGCCATGTTTGATGTAGTTGGTGCGTTTAGATGGAGGACGTCTGAAAGCAGCCAAAAGTGGTTCTCTGTTGTATCATGGACACACAAAAAACACAAAACAACATTTCTCAACATCTCCCATCTCACCTCTTGAACTTTTCCAGAAGCTCCAGCTCCTGCTCGGCTTGGAAGCGCACTCCTGCAGGGCAGTCTGGGTAATCGTGAGGGAAGTGAGGCTGACCCTTGAACTGGGAGTGTTTGACACTCATGTGGAGGCCGCCGACTCGAACGCCACGATACACCTGAAAACAACACACTTCTGTCTTAGACAAAAAAAATGCTGTTTAACAAAAAAGGCCAAGGTTCACAAAAACTGTATTGTTGATTAAAATGCTAAATTTGATAAAACATTGTGTGTGTAAATGAATAGGATGGACTTGGTGCTGAAACCCAAAGCAGGACAACAGAGACACCAGAGTAACAATATTCATGATTCTGAAGCTGAAAATAACGGATTATTTTAGATGAATATGCTTGAACTGTCACTGACTAGATATATAGAGAGATATATGTAAAATAATGTCGGCCACTGTTACTGGTAACATCAGATCTGCATTATTATACATTATATTCAACATTATATAGTAGTTTAATGTAGTCTGGTTAGCGCAGCAGGATCAGACGCCTGTAAAGAGCGGCTCCTTCAGTCTGATCTCTTATAAAACACTTCCCTTTGTTTTCATATTTCAAACATTTCTGTGGACTGCACAATTTCTTTGAGTCTAATGTCCCTGTTGAAGGTTTTCCACAGGTATTCCCCCTAGTGGCCATCGGCCCGCTTGAGAAACACGGTCCAAAGCCTCTTTAAGGAGCATAAACAAACTATTACTGTAAAATTACTGTATTTACTGTAAAGAAAAAGGCCATTTCTCCCACACTGCCCCCTACTGGTGACTCGAGGCCGGTGTAATTAACAGTTGCCTCAGCATTTAAAGGAGGACCTTTCATGCTTTGGCAACTCCTCACTTATACTGGAGTAATACAAGTTGCGACCGATTTGGTGCTCGATTGAAATTTCGGCATTAAAATCTTGAAAGTCTTATGACACCGGCTCAGTCGGACTGAATTCATTTCGATTGATGAATCCGAATGTAGCATTTACATGAACGCTACATGTGATCGGGTTGATGTGTGTGTTTATATGTCACAAGCTTAAATCGGGATATAGTGTTTGACATGCGCTCACTGCACGAATATACACAGTTTCTGCTGTTTGCGCATAATAACTATTCTCCTACACTGGTTCTTTATTTGTTTTAAACAGCAGGCTTAATATCCGTCTCTGGTCTTGATTAGTAGACATGAGCGTATGAGCCGCTGTGCCGCTGCTTATATTCATCACACAGTAAAACTGCCCAAACCCAGTGGTGTGTGTGTGTGTGTGAGAGAGTCTGAAGCGGCACTGGCGGCCGTCGTCCTGCTCCACTTCACACACACACGCAGAGAACGAGGAATATAGGATGGCGAGACACTCGTTTATATATGACACATCATACGTCTTTACGCTATTTCTACATCATCGCACATGTGCACTGCTTTCAGATTCGGTTTTCAATCCGATCCAGTGTTCACATGTTCTCTCGATCGATTAGAAAAGGAATTAACACCGCTTTCAATCCGATCGAACTTTCATTTGGATTAAAGCTGATTGGATCGATTAAAGGGGTGGTATAATGCCCTTTTCACAAGATGTAAAATAAA